TCCACACACACACACACACACACACACACACACAAAATTGATTTTTTTTTGTTTTAAAGTAGTTGCCTTTTTCTTTTCTTTTTACAATGCACTGTTACGTTCGTTCATGTACTTCATTCGCTTTATTGAAGAAGATAGGAAAGATTGGAGAGATAATACAACAAGCTTAAACTTAAACAGTACTCTCAACACAGAGAGGGACCCGCGTAAATTCCTACACATGCCGCCCTACAATTTTGAAAAATACACAGGGATTTTTATCGTTTAAAAAGTTTGTATCCTGATATAAAATACATTTTATACAACTTGACGCAGTTGCCATTGATGATTTTCTAGCTAATATCGTCATTGTTGATATTGCTGTTGTCATTATCACGGCAGTTTTGGTTGATGTGGAAGTGTGATGGCTGGGACGTATTGTTGTGTTTCTGCAGAGTTGTTCGGGACTGCTGGAGCATCGAAAAGAGCGAGGGTATCTCTTCTTCTTGCATAATACTGTAAAATCTGCTCGAAAAGTTTAATAAACATTAGAACTAAAATAGTAGGAAAAAGTCCTCTTCTTTTGCCAAGTCCTGTAAGTCATGATTTCATAACCCTCTTCAAAACCAGACCAGTGATCGCCCCTGACAGATGTTAAACGTGCCAAAGGCTTTCTAATCATTTAAACACAGGTTCCTTCATTAGATTACTAAGATTTTGGTTTTGTTTTAGTTAGTTTTTGTTGTTTGTTTGTTTTTGTTTTTTATTGCGCAAAGCCTGCTCTTAAGGCCACCTGTATAAGACAACCACCTTCCCATTTCTTCCATACCGTATATTTCTAACATTATCAAGACATTGAAGATTGAGAAAAAGTGTAAGACCAGAGGTATCTATAACGCATTTCGGCTTTGTTCCTGATAAGGGAACCAGAAATGCTATATTCGTAATATGCTTCATAGATTATTCAAAGGCGTTCGATAAAGGTAGACATGATGAGCTATTAAAAATACTGGAAAAGCTAGACGTAGATGGAAAAGATCTAAGAATTATCAGGAATTTGTACTGGGACCAAAACGCTGCTGTACGAATTAATGGAGAATGCAGTGAATATAAGCAGATCAGGCGAGGAGTGAAGCAAGGATGTGTTATGTCAACAGAACTCTTAAACACGTACAGTGAAACAATCCTTAGAAACATAAAAGAATGTCCAGGCCTCAAAGTAAATGGAGAAAATATTAATAACATCAGGTATGCAGATGACACAGTTTTAATAGCAGGCTCAGAAAAGGACCTTCAATTGTTTCTAAATACTGTTGTAACAGAAAATGAACGTAAAGGATTAGTGTTGAATGCAAAGAATATAGAATGCATGATAATATCCAAAAAAGCAGCAAATCCTAGCTGTAATCTCATTAGCAAAGGTGAAAAGATCAAACAAGTCCAACAGTTTAAATATCTAGGATATATGATAACATCTGGTGCCAAATGTTCCCCAGAAATAAAACGGAGAATTACATTTCAATAAAATGAGCCCAATCCTGAAAAATAGATACATTTCAATGACTACCAAAATGAAAGTTCAGAAATGCTATGTATGGTCAACCCTTCTCTATGGCTGTGAATGCTGGACAATCACTAACTAAAGACAGTGAAAATGAAATAGAAACAACAGAAATATGATTTCTTAGGAGACTGCTAAGAGAATCGTGGAAGAAAAAGAAATCAAATGAGGTAGTGCTTGATGAAGCCCACGTGGGACGCTCACTGTTAAAAACAATCAGGAAATGACAAATGCAGTTTTTGGGACACCTGAAAAGACAAAAGGGTCTTGAACATCTAGCTCTCACTGGCAAAACTGAAGGCAAGCGAGGCAGGGGTAGGCCCAGAGCAACCTACTTGGGGAACCTGAACATGTGGATGACAGGGAAAGATCAGGGAAACGTGATAAAGGAATGAATGGACAACCATGATCGCCAATGTCTGTCGTAGATCTGGCACTGGATGCTGATGATGATGATAAAGACATTGTGTAAAACGGTCACCTGTTTAATACGGCAACTTTTTACTCGACGAGAGATGGCTGTCTTAGATTTGGAAGTAATTTATTATTACTTCAGCAAGGCATACAAAAACCAAAAGATTAAAGAACTCTCGGGCTGTCAAATTTTTTAGTCCGGTGAGCTTAAAAAGTGTTAGCCATTACCTTGACTACTTTTCCGGGATATATTATTATTATACTGTGCTGGGAGGTATACATACCATAAAAGGTATTTTGATCTTGATCGGTGTCATGTGGTTTTCTTCTGTCCTGCAGTTAGTGTGGCAGGATTTGTTTTACTTGTGATATCCTCGAGGCCCCTAAACCCTAAAGTTTTAGTGATCACACCCACCGTGGAAAAAAACCTTCAGCGTGTGAAGTGAAAGTGAAAGTGTCTGAAAGCATTGGATTTGCTGGATAAAAGTTAAGGACCATGCTGCAGGCAAAATTGTTAAAGTATGTTCAGAAATGTTTGGACATCTCATAAAGTAGATAGATAGATAGATAGATAGATAGATAGATAGATAGATAGATAGATAGATAG